CCTGATAGGAATGAGGAGTTGGGAGTTGTACGCTTCACGCCTTTCTTTAGTCATAGGTTCGGAGACGAACCTTGGCCCCTCAATCGAAGCAGGATAAGAGCTTGTGGGGAAGATCTCTGGTTGACGTTGTACGTCAGAGACATTCTTGGGTTTGGGGTTGTTTGGAGCATTGGAGAGGAAAGCCATTATTGTAAGTTAGTAAGGAACGAAGATGATGGTGTAAGGTGTTTTTCTGAAGAAGAGATGTAAAATTTTAAGTGTTGTGAAAGTTCCAAAATAGAGGGCTTAAGGCTATTTATAGTGTCCAAGGAGAAGTATGTCTCGTCAAGGCCGTTTAATGTTATGGACGTAGTGGGGCACGTGGCAAGCAATAAAGCGGTTACCGTGCAGGTGATGGGGAACGTTTGACATGCTTGCCTAGGTTCTAGGAGTAATGGTCATCATGACAGCATAGTAACGGCTGGTTGAAAAGACATCTTGGGAAAAGAGTAATGATGGTTCTGAGTGTGGCAGCTGTTGGAAGGCGAAAAGTGCACGTTAAGCCTTTGTGGACAAAAGAGACAGGTGTCGAATAGGAATATCAAAGAATGTATATTTCTCTCGAAGTAGAAATATATATTCTTGGGGGGGGGGGGGGCAATTTGTTGGCTCTTGAATTCGACACTCATGATATATTGGCCTTATGGGCCAAAAATAGAGCAAATAAAGCCAAGCTGGAGAATTCTTCGACGGATGGAAAAAACTTAGAGAAAATATCTGAGTTACAAATTGGTCTTCGACCAGGCATCACCAAAAAGACTTCGACTGGAAAGGTCCTGTGACCTTCGACCAGAAGAACAAACCCTCGTGTCAGCACCAAAGACGAAGGATATTTGAATTTGAAGATTGGAGGGAAATGCAGTTCGCTAGCAGTTAAGGGAAAAGCAGTGTGGCAGGAAGATAGAGGTCGAGGGACATGCAGAAGACACTTGTCTTCATCCTAGAACAAAGCCACCCCTCGACAGTTACATAATTTTAGTATAAAAATAGGAAGTATGTGTAGTTTTTCGGGGTGTTCAACCTATTGTGCTAGTTACTCAATATTATTCAAGTACCCGTTGTGTGTGAAAGAATAACTGAGAATGTACGTTGGAAACACCACTTTTTATTAATAAATTATTTTTTACATTGCTTTGATCTTCTTTTGCAAAGTTTACATTTCCTGCATCTTTACTTGCACTTCTATTTACTTTCTTATTTTCCAAAACCACAAACACCATATCCCTGGTCGAACGTGCGTTCTTCCTAGATATCAACGTTTGCATCAAACCAGCATAAAAGTTAGCATATGTTCTGGAATCAATTTGATTGATCCCGCGAGTAACCAAAAGGACTTTCTTTTTTGGAGGATCAGCGGTTGTTTACCAAAAACAACGGTAAACATATGTGGAGTGTAGGGTGGCACCACCTCATGCACAATCCGTTCTTTTTCACATGACATGTCGAAGTCTTTCGACACATATTCTCCACCACTATCAATTCTCGGAATCTTGAGCTTTCGACCACTTTGTCTTTTGACCATAAATTTAAACTTGATAAATACCTTGATCACTTCACTTTTCTTCTTGATCAGATAAGTCCACAGTTTTCTACTGAAATCATCTATGGATGTAACAAAGTCTTTATTACCTTTAATTGAATCCACCTGGATAGATCCACATACATCAGAGTATATGTTCTCAAGAATTTCCTTTGACTTGCTTCATGCATCCTTGTTGAAGTTGTTCTTGTGCTGCTTTTCCTGCACACATCCCTCACACACCTCATTTGGAATGTTGATTTCTGAAAATCCTGAAACCATATTTCTTCTTTTCAAGTCTCTGGTGTCTTTGAAGTTGAGATGGTCAAATCGATAGTGTCATATCCATTCATCCTTGCTAGTTGTAGTTGCAAGGCACTTGTGCTCTACCACATTAAGTTCAATCTTGAAGGTTCTATTCTGAAACATAGGAGCATTCAAGATTAACCTTCATTTTGAGTCAATAACTCTCATCAAATTGTATTTGATTGACACCTTGTAGTTCTTTTCAACCAACTGCCCTTTACTTAGCAGATTACTTTTCATGCTTGGTATATACAATACATCCGAAATCACTGACCTTTTACCATTTTTCGTCATAATCAGAACATCACAAATACCTTCAACTGCTAGAGCATTTTCATTTGCAAATTTCATCGTGTTCTTTATTAAGGGCTTTATGTTGACAAACCAATATTTCCTTCTAGACATGTGTGGTGAGCATCCTGAGTCCAAGTATCATTGATCATTGAATCTCTCTTCCTCTCTTGTTGTGACCATCAACATCATCTCTTCTTCTTTATGCTTTGCAAACTTCGCATCACTTTCTTGATTCTTTTGTGTTTCTAGAAAATCACTAGCATAGTGGTTATACTTCTGACAATTGAAACACTAAATGTGACTTTTGTCAGGTTTTCGACCACCACCTTTTCCTCTACCTACAACACTACCTCTTTGGTTTATTTGGTATGATGGTACTCTCTAGTTTGACGAATTTTCTTCTTGCTGGTTTCCTCGACCAGTGGAATTTTTATAGCCTCTTCTACCTTTGTTATCGATCCACTTTCTATTGCCTTTCTTTTCTCTTGCTGATTGAGCCTGTAGAGCCACATCACTCTTCGACTTACTTGCAGAACTTTCAGCCATTATTTGTTCATGAGATTCAAGTGTCCCTTGAAGCTCTTCTTTTGTCAATGTCAAAAAATCTTTCGACTCTTCTATGGAAACCACCATGTGGTCGAACTTTGAAGCCAGAGACCTCAAGATCTTTACGACAAATGATCTCAACGTTAGCGCTTCTCCACATACTTTGATTTAATTCACCAGTTTCATAACCGTAGTGAAGAAATTAGTTATGCTTTCACTTTCTTTCATCTGAAGTAATTCATACATGCTTTTGCGAGTTTATAACTTCACCTCTTTCACCGTTTGTCGATTCTACATCACTCAACTTCTCAAAATTGTTTGAATTAACACATTAATGAATTATAAAGAGAACTTTATAATCTTTCATTTTCATTTCTTTATGTACCGCATTTTCTTCATCTGTTGCTTCTTCTGCAAGGGTGATACACCTTCCTTTATAAAATTCCAAAGATCTTGATAACAGAAAACCACATTCATCTATTTGCACTAATTTTCATAATTTTGACTCTTCAAAATTGAACTAAACGTTGTAAAATGCTTGTTTGGATGATTCACTATCATTGTTATTGCTATCCTCGAATCACCCAGTCAGAGCTCCAGATACCAGATGTTGGAGTTAAACTCAAAACTTTGAGTAATTTCGAATCAATCTTGATGAACAAGATTCAATCAACCCGGTCAAAGTCCCTTATTCTTCACTCTTCACTCGAGTGAAACAATCAAGCTTGGTTGCAAGATGATTTTGCACAACAATTAACAATGGAGAAAAGAAAGAAAATTCAGAAGAAGAAGATTAGAGTTTTACGAAATAAGGGGAAGAAGGGGAATTTCTGCAGAGTAAACTCTCTGCCCACAAACTGTGAAAAAATCTTATTCACTTTACAACTGCAAAATTTTGTGAATACAAGTTGTTTACAATATAGGGATTACTCCCTATTTATAGTGAGTTTGCTTGTCCCCTAAATCAAAACCCACAAATACAAAAAATCCAAAATAACTATTTAGACCTGAGTCGAAATCCTGTGTGAAGCAACATGTTTCGACACTTCGACAACTAAACACAACTCGACACACACTACATATTTTGACATATCCTTAATTCTATCGAACAATAACTGTTTCAACATAAGAAATTACAAACTTAACAATCCTTGAGTTACCTTTTGAACTGACTTAAGTTGAAATAGTATTGAAATTTATCTAAGACTATTAGATTATCATTTTATACCTATTAGAGAAATCTAGATTTTCTTATCTGTACTGAGGGTCTAGATTTTAAAATATGGATTACACAAAGAAGAAATCAGCCAAACATTAACCTAACCCTCAAATGTCCCAAATTCATGACAAATCTAAGTAGAAATTGGGTTTCTATTAGATGTAGCTTAACAATATTCTTTTAAGGTATTAAAGACTTACATGCATCAAAAGTTAGAAGAAAAAAAATAAAGATACGAGAAACTTAACAAATGTGAGAGATGAATGTGCTTAATTTGAATGAAAATGAGTAGAACTTTAGTGAGTGTTTGGTTCGAGTGACAGAAATAGAAGAGCAAAGCCGGAAAAAATGTTGGATTCAGATGAGCGAGAGCTCTATTTTGTTCTTCAGAGAAATTGAGAAGTTGATTTCAAATGCAATGGAATGTAAAAGAGTGCCCACACATCATTAAATGAATGTGATCAGATTTCAATATCCGAAGTTGAATCCATATTTCAAGCTCCATACTTATTTTTTATTTTTTTTTCAAAACTCATCAGGGTGGATGAATAATATGTATGAGGTACAATGAACGATGCCCATTTTTAATCTTTAAAAGGGCTTACCCTTCCCTGGTCTTCTATTGTGATCAAGTTATCTTTTATAATTCTCGTGTTGTGAAATTAGACTGGTACTTCTGATTATAGCATCATATAAATTATATTTAAAAATACAATTTCTAAACAATGTTTACAAAAACAAAAAAAAAAACCTCATTATTCATGGTTTAAAACTATGAATGTGATAAAATTGAAGAAAGTGAGTATCACCACAATGTTAACTTTCTCTTTTTGCCGTGGACTAGAAACAAGCTCCTTGCCATTTGTAAGCCTTGATCATATATTCTGTTTTTTGTTGAAGGAGGGTGCCCGTATTCTTAAAATGCACACTTCATCCATTAAATTAGTTTTGTAACATTGACTTGAATCTCAATCTCAAAAATTCACTCGACGGTGCCCAAACACATGCATATAAACAAGCATCTTGGCAGTATACATCTATGGCCTCTCTTTCATGAAAGTAATAGCTATTTCAAAGTTAGTTGTCATCCACAGCAGACATTACTGGAACTCCCTTGCTAGAAAAGCTTGAGCAGACTACTCGCATCTCTTCGCCGATGTTAAAGTTCTTTTTGCTATCTTCCTGCGATACAAGCAAAAATAGGTTAGCAAGTGATTGATGTCTCATGCTGCATACAAAAAAAATATGGTTAAGTGACCCAAGAAGAAGAGAGAATAGTGCAATTTAATGACAGCATAGAACAAGTGTAGAGATTTAAGAGGTTAATGTTGTTTTTGATGCTACAATGAAGTTGATTATTTATAGCAATGACTCCACCTTAAAACGGTACATTCCTCGAACTCCTCCACCCAAATCCAATACTAACCCATGTGCACGAATTTGATAAACTTTGGCAGTAACTTCTTTTCCAAGTATCAAATCTTTTGTGGTCGAATTGTCTTTACCTTCCTTTTCATTCCTTTCTTCCCTTTGAGTATCAGATTTTGACTCTTTTTGCGTTGAAAGTTTTGGCTTCTTAGCATATTTATATGGCAAGGGACCTGAATGAGATGGAGAATCAATTGTATCTTGAGATTTACGAGGTTTTGACTTGGACAGAGACTTTGACTTGTGAACCAATTGTACCCCATCATCAATAAGAGAACCATTTGATGTTTGATTGTGATTCGAGCTGAGAGATTTCTCCTCCTCGTCACATTCTGCAGCACTTCGTATTAAAATTACTGGTGTTTGGGAGGCTGAGGGATTTGTTTCAGCCACCTCATTTTTTTCTATACACAACTCAGAAGCAGAATTTTGTCCTTGTGTAGTACTAGACGCATCCGAAACTGGTGCCCAAATGTTGGCAGTTTCTTTTGTAGATGCAGCAGACCCTTCAGCTATACCATTAGTGTCTGATCCTCCACGTCCACGCAAAGTCGCTTTAAGGGACAATTTAATGTTACCATGAACATCTTGGCCAATGCACATCAAAGTAATTTGCTGGCCAATAGAGATTACATCTGAAATTCGGGAAACCTGG